GGCCCACGCGGCGGGGCGGAGGTTGCCTTGGCTGGGGCGCATCCTTTCTGGGTGGCCCCTGCCATCTGCAGGGCTGGATGGGGCCCCCCTGCAGCCTCGCCCATGTGGGGGTCCCCCTGGGTACCCACAGGAGCCCAGGGGCTGGAGGGCATTTGGTGTGGGGTCTGAGATCTGCAGCGTCCTTAGGGATCCTCATCAACTTCTGGTGGCTCAGCCCTCCCTGGGGGGAGGAGAGAGAGGGCATGGGGCTGCGAGCAGCTCTGGTTTGCTGTTTCAGGCATTTCTGAGACCAAACTGCATGCCCGACAGCAAAGCAGAATTAGCCATGTTATTTGAAGTTATTTACACAAAGAGACTTACATGATCTATGTCCAGTATGTTCCAGTGTGCCTTCAGTGGGCAAGATGTATTTTATTTGTTTTAAAAGCCTGTGTATATTTTCTGTGTATCAAAGAAGAAACATTTGAGGATGATTTTGAAATAGTCACAGAATCTACTTTAAAATGTTTAACAGGACGGTAAATATTCCTCCTTAATCATGTGTCAGAGCTTCTCTATGACCTTCAAAAGTCCTACGGTTAGTCTCTCCGTGGAAATAGACTTGAGTCAGGGTCACTGGGAACCAACTAAGACCTGCTCAGTGGTAGGCTGTACCAGGGTTTCTTAGCCTCGGCGCTATTGGCATTTGGGGATGAATCGTTCTTTGTTGTGGGCCTGGGGGTCCTGTTCATTGTAGGATGTGTAGCAGCATCCCTGCCTCTACTCACTAGATGCCCCCCACCCAGGTGTCCACGTCCCTGTTCCTGGAACCTGTGAGTATGTTAGGTCACATGGTCAGGGGGACTCGAGGTTGCAGGTGGAATTAAGATTGCAAATCAGCTGACTTGGAGGTGAGGAGAGTAGCTTGGATTATCCAGGTGGGCCTAGTATAATCACAAGGGTCCTTATCAATGGAAGAGGGAGACAGAAGAGAGAAAACCAGAGATGGCAGCGTGACAGAGACTCGACACACCATTGCTGGCTTTGAAGATGGAGGAAGGGGCCAGGAGCTAAGGAATGCAGGTGGATTCTAGAAGCTAAAAATCAAGACAGGGAAACAGATTCTTCCCTGGAGCCTCCACAAGGAACGTGGTCCCGCGGACACCTTGATTTTAGCGCAGTGAGATCCATTTCTGAAATACAGAACTCTAAGAAATGTGTGTTGTCTTAAGTGACTAAGTTTGCGGTCATTTGTTACAGCAGCCATAGGGAACGGGTACACCTGCCCATCTCTCCCACCCCCATTGTGACCACCAGTAAAGGTTTCCAGACATTGGCAGGTGTCCCCTGTGGGGCAAAATCGCCCCTGGTGCAGAAACACTGGCTACGGGGACCACCATGCTGTTTCCCTAGAAACTGGGCAAGAGTCTCTGTGATGAGAATGAGGCCAGGAGTGGGTGTGCCCAGCACGGTTGGCTGTACACCCAGCATGGTTCGCTCTGGGAGGAAGGAACCAGTGGTGTAAAAGGGAGTGGGGGTAGGGGCCACAGCTGCTCCCCCCCGCCCCTCCCCGAGGCTCCCGGTGCTGTCACCCATGGCAGACTGTGCTTGTGCATTTTTGTACGATACTAGAAAAGAAGCTGAATGATCTTCAGCTGCACCATAGAAGAGACATAAAAACTCAATAAACGTCAGCCGAGGCAGCATTGCTCACAGAGTTCTCGGCAAGAAAGGCCAGCACGCCGGGCACCCCTGGCACTGTTTTTGGGTGTCGTGGGCGGGTACGAGAGGCCGGGGAGCTCAGCCCGTGCTGGGGGCCACCAAGCCCGGGCTCTGGGCCAAACACACAGCCCCCAGGTTTCTTCGTCCCAACCCCGATGCTGTAATTCTGTTTGTTTTGCCGACTATGAAATCCATATGGTTCTGATTTCTTCTTTGTGATCCGTCATCTCTGTGTGGCTTCGGAGCCAGGATCCATGCGAAGCGGCTTTGAAGTTGTTGTTCTGGGGTAAGCAGGACATGCTGCTTTTCCAGGGTTTGATTCGAGCGGTGCTCTAGGAGTCGAGAGTTGGGAGGTGGGCGGCTGGGTCAGAAGGGAGGAGCGTTTGCAGAGCCTGCCGGGGATTTGTGCAGCCCAGGGTTGCTCCCTGGTCCTCAGCTGATGTCACAGGGACACTTCCTTCCAGGCAGCTCAGCTGAAACAGCACGTGAGTCCATGTCAGTTGCCGACTCGGGGTGGTCAGACAGAGCTGTGGTCCCTGGCTCCTCCGTTCAGGGCAGCTGCTGGCCTGGGGGCAGAGTAAAGGCAGAGGCAGGGAGAGAAGAAAAAAGAGGGAGAAGTCAGTGAACAAGGGGGGATGTGGAGAAAGACATCGCCTGTATCCATGCTTTTCATATTAAAGGACCAGACCGTTCCATGATGGGCCGGCCTTAGCTGGGTCTAATGGGTGTATGGAGGCCAGTGGTCCCCAGATTTCAGCCTGCATTGGAATCACTCACCCGGAGGGCTTATTAAAACAGATTGCGGGGCCCCACCCCCAGAGTTTCTGATTCGGGAGGGCTGGGGTGAGGCCCAAACGTTTGTACTTTCCAACAAATTCCCGGCTGCTGCGGGTGCTGACGGTCCGAGGTTGAGAACCGTTGGTCTAGAACAAGAAGAGGATCTTTGTAATTAAAAGTGGTACCGGGCTTCCCTGGTGGCGCAGTGGTTGAGAGTCCGCCTGCCGATGCAGGGCACACGGGTTCGTGCCCCGCCCCAGGAGGATCCCGCATGCCGCGGAGTGGCTGGGCCCGTGAGCCATGGCCGCTGAGCCTGCGCTCCGCGAAGGGAGAGGCCACAGCAGTGAGAGGCCCGCGTACCGCAAAAAAAAAAAAAAAAAAAAAAAGTGGTACCCATAACTAATAGTTCTCAGGACTTTACAGTTTATTGGTGAGGACCCCACTTTCTCCATTGAAGTGTAGTTGATTTACCATATTGTATTAGTTTTGGGTGTAAACACAGTGATTCAGTATTTTTATAGATTATATTCCATTTAAAGTTATCACAAAATAATGGCTGTATTTCTCTGTGCTGTACCGTATATCCTTCTTGCTTGTGAGGACCCAACTTTTGATCTGAATAATCCTATGAGGAGATAGTATCATCATTTGTGATTTTTTTTTTTTTTTTTTCCTTTTTAAGGGTAAAAATAGCATTTATTTTAATTTTTGTCAGACAGTAAAATTGACCTTTTTGGGTGTACAGTTCTATGAATTTTAACACATATTATAGATTTATGTAACCACCACCTCAACCAGGACATAGAAGAGTTCCATCACCCCAAGATCCTCCCTCCTACACTCCCTTTGCATTCACACCCTCCCTGACCCGACCCTTCATGGGTCCTCCATTCTTGTAGCTTTATCTTTTGGAGAATGTCGTATACAGGGAATCATACAGTAGGTAACCTTTTGAGACTGGCTTCTTAATGTAATGTGTACGGGACGGACCCAGGTTGTGGCCTGTGTCAGTAGTGCGTTCCTTTGTGTGGGTGAGTAGTATTCCATTGCGTGGATGTAGCATAGTTTGTTCCTTAATCCCTGTTGAGATCTTTTGGGTTGTTGCCAGTTTGGGGTCTTTATGAATGAAGCTGCTATGGGCATTCGTGTATAAGACTTGGTGTGGACCTGTATTTTCATTTCTTTTGGGTACATACCTAGGAGTGGGATTGATTACTGGGGCATATGGTAAGTGTATGTTTAACTTCATAGGAAACTACCAAGCTGCTCTGCAGAGTGACTGTACCATTTTGCATTCCCACCAGCAGTGGATGAGCTTTCCAGTTGCTCTGCAACCTCGCTAGCACGTGGTATTGTCCACCTTTTAAAGTTTAGTCACTCTAGGTCATGTCTGATTTTGAAATGTGTAAACGAGTCTCCGAAAGGCTCAGAGGGTTGTCTAAGGCCCCTGGGCTCTTGGTGGCTCCTTGAATAACTAAAATCCAAACCTTTCGACTTGACGGCTGTGTACATTCTGGGTGATGGCTGTGCTGAACAGGAATGATAGAGGCTTATCCCACGTGGCAGACTAGGAACCAGTAGCTTCTGCGTGAGGTTGGGGGCTGCAGCAACGTCAGGGCATATGTGGCAGGGTTAAGGCATACGCCCAGGGACTAGGGAAACAAGGAAAGTGAAAAAAAGGGAAACGAAAACAGAGAAAAGATGCACATCCTAGAATCACAGAGGTGGGAGGCACTAGGCTACTTCTCCATCCCTTGTCCCTTCTTATTTTTTTATTTCTGTTTTTATTGGAGTATAGTTGATTTACAGTGTTGTGTTAGTTTCAGGTGTACAGCAAAGTGAGTCAGTTATACATATACATATATCCATTCTTTTTTAGATTCTTCTCCCATCTAGGCCACTACAGAGTATTGAGTAGAGTTCCCGGTGCTATACAGTAGGTCCTTATTAGTTATCTATTGTATATATAGTAGTATGCTCTCTTATTTTTAAATTGAGGCTCAGAGAGGGAAGGCAGCCTGCCAAATGTCACTCAGCTCACTGGTGCCTCTTGAGTCTTTGCCTGTGGCCAACGGTTGGCAGAAACCCCCTTTGTTTCCAGAAGCATCCTTGGGAGTAACACCAGGGCCACAGGCTGCTTCCCCTTGGTGCTTGAGGAGTAGAGCTTTTGCAAACTGATACGCCTGGTCAGGGTCATCGTACTCCTTCAGTGTCTTGGCCTCAGGTCTGTTCTGGGCAAGGAATCGGCTTCAGGAAGGAGCTGGTGCAGGGGGCCATGGCCACAGCTGAAACCAGAGCTGGTGACTTAACAGGGAGGAGGTTTATGGAGGACCAGGCCCACCTACCCTCGCGGGGGAAACGGCGCGGCTGTGCTGGAAAGCTGTGGACATGCTTACCCGATTGCAGAATACTTCTTTCGTTTTGAATATCATTTGTTTGGTTGCCACAGCAACGTCAAGTCTCTATTTTAATGCTAACCTGCGTGGCTGCAACTTTCTATATATAAGTACTGCTTTGCACAGTGAATTAGCTGATGCCACAGGGGAAGCAGCGGATGTGGAAACGGTGGCAGAAGATGACCAGTGGGTCAGCTCTGCAAGAGGAAGGACTGCGGGGCTGAGGTGAGTGGGCGCCCGGGGCGTGGCCGCTGATCCATAGGGCAGGTTGCTCAAAGCTCATTGGAGCAGGGTGAGAGTGGGAAAGGCAGCCCCACACCTGCGGGCGGGAGGGAGGGAGGGAGGGAAGCCCTGCTTGGATGGCCTCCTGCTGGGCCGGAGGGTGATTCTTCTGTTTCCCCACGGGTCGCCTCTCCTCACTCCTTCAGTGCGTCTGGGCCGCCCGGGGACCGGAGGCTCCGGAAAGAGGAGCAAGCCACTGGCCAGGGTGGTGTCTGAAGTGAGCTGAGTGCAGAGTGAGTTTTCCTTGTTTCCTTTGACTTGGTTCCCCGGTCTGGATCTTCGCCTCCTCTGTTTTGCCTTTTCTTCCTTCCCAGGTGTGGCTCCCGGTTGGGGCCAGATGGCTTCACATGGTGCAGATAGAATATTCAGGAGAAGCCTGGAAGGACCCTGGGAGTCGGTAGGTTCAGCTTCCCCGGCTCTAGATGAGGGACAAGCCCAGAGAGGTACACGCTCTGCCAGATGTCACACAGCCAGCCAGAGAGAGAGTGGGACGGGAACCAGGTCCCCAGGGGACTTCTGACTCGGGCCCCTGTGCCTCATGAGGGCATTTGTGTGGTGGGGTCAGGACAGCCGTGGGTGTACACACTAGACATACGGGGGCTGCAGAGAGGGTGGCCCACTCGGGGGCGCTCCTTTCTTGTGTCACAAGTTGGAGGGCGTGTAAGGAATACAGGATTATGTAACAGGATCAGAAGCCATGAAGGCTTCTGGAAAGAGCATGGAAGTTAGAGTCTGGAAAACGATTTCATGTGGATTCAGCCGCTTCCCGTGTGACAACTGTGTCCACTTCACCGAGGCTCAGTTTCCCCACTAAGTCCTGGAATCTCTTCCCCAGCACTGTGGTGGAGGGTCAGTGTCACAGCCAGTGTGAAACCGTCAGCAGCAGCATTTGGGTCCTGATGGGGGTGTGATGCACCCGAGGGCTTCTCTGGAGATTGGGTTTTGGGTGTGCCTTGAAATGCTACAGTTTTATCATCATTTAGAAAAGTCTCAGTCGGGCTCCCTCTTCTATAATATCAAACATTCGACAGTTATTTTAAGTGTACTGGCTCCAAAGACTTGGACCCAGTTTTTTTTTTTTTTTCTTCTTTGACGTGCCACGTGACTTTTGGGATCTTAGTTCCCCAACCGGGGATCAGACTCGGGCCCATAGCAGTGAAAGCGCGGAGTCCTAACCACTGGATGGCCGGGGAATTCCTAACCCTGTTCTTTTTTTAATTTTTATTGGAGTATAGTTGCTTTACAATGCTGTGTTAGTTTCTGCTGTACAGCAAAGTGCTGACCCTGTTCTTGAAAAGAGAAAATGTGTACAGTTGGAATCTACGGCCTGTGAGTGGTGTACAGTCTGTGGGGCTGGAAGATTGGAAATTGGGAGCATTCACCCCTGCCTGGGTGGGCCAAGGAAAGTGCAAAGGGAAGGAATCTCTTGCAGGAATTTATGATGGAGGATGGGGGGAGGGGTATAAAGGGGGGAGTTTTAAAAATGGAGATCGGGACCAGGTGAAGTGGCGTTTCTTAAAGCAGGAGTGACCAGCCACAAGGCGTCTATAATCCGTATTAAGCAGTGTGGAAAATAGGGTGGGAAAACAGCAGAGTGCGTTGCACGTGGTAAAGCACGTATTGCTGCGTGAAACTTTTGCTCTGCACGTATATTGGGTTGTGAAGCAAAATGTGCTTTTTACCGTGGGTCAGACTTTCGAAACCAAAAAATGACACCTTCTGGCCTAGAGTGGTGACCCAGTGAGCCTGAAATCTCCTGTGGATGGCTGGGGATTTCCTTTCCAAGAAAAAGCTGGAAGGAGAAAGGAAGGGTTCTCAGTGGGGGAGAGCCTCACGCAAGCATCGTTTTGAGAAGCTGGTGTGATGCAGCATGCAGCTCAGACAGGGGCAAGCAGGCTGGCTGGGAAGCGTGAGGTCTGGGGACCAGAGGGGGCATCCCCTTCTCCCAGGGCCTGTGATTCTTGCAGCGACAGCCTGCTCCCCCTGCACCCTCCCCAGCGGTCCCAAAACACACATTCCCCTGCCCTGGAGCCCTACACTGCTCCGGTGAGGGATGGACCCGGCCGTCCTCCCCACCAGGCACTGTGCTCCAAGGGTGCTGGCTTCCAGCTGCTCAGCACCGGCGATCCCGTGGGGATCTCTCTGCTCACTGCGGCAGCTGTGTCATCTCACCTTTACACCCCATGGATGTGCGTCTGTCCTCCGAGGCTGCTGTGCCCAACCCTCTTTCTCCTTGGTTCCCGCTCTGTGCACGGCTTTGCCTCTGAGCACCTTCTCTGCCTCCCTGCCCAGCCGGTGGCGCATGCCTCACTCCTTAAGCTATACCAGCTTCCTCGCTACCGCCGCCCCTTCCAAACCTTCTCATCAGCTGTTGAGGCACCACTCTTCCATCGACAGAGTAGGACAGACTCTCCAGGGTCCCTTCTGGCCCCCAAACCTTGTCCTATGCTTCCCTTCCAAGGAAGGTTGGACCCAGGCTGGGGCGCTCAGCTCCGGGGTGAGATGGAGTTGGCCACACATTTGCAGCCCTTGGAGGGTGTGTACTGATACCCGGAAGCTGGTATTCAGCTCACGCACCAGGAGATGTTGGTAGTAAGAGGTCTTAGCAAGAGGCTAGTTAATAGAGGGTAAAGGTACTGATTATACTTTTGGTCTAGGACGGTGGTATTCAATTCTCTAACACGAGGGCGCCCTCTCTTCGAATGACTGCAGTTAACACCAGGAGCTGTACACTGGTGGCCACTGGGGAAAATCAAGTGCAAAACTGCAGGGGGGTTTGGTGGTGGTTTTGTTTTCGTTTTTGCCCATAGCTTCATTTAAAATCTTTTGAGTTGGTTGCCAACATCTAAAAATGAGCAGATTTCACATTAAAAATTCAGATTTCCAGCTTCTCTGGCAAAAATGAGTAGCTTTGGTGACACTGAGCCCACTGTCCTGCCTGGCAGCAGTATGCTGACGATGAATGGCGGGCTTTCAGTTTGCTACAGTCCCTACCCATCACCAGCATGGAGAGCAGTGATGGAACAGTTGCCAATATTCGCGTGATTCGTGATGTCTTTCTTACGGTTAGGAAATATGAAATAGACCCGGTGCCCATGTCTGTGAAAAGAGGGAGAGTGAGAGGGCTGCAGTTTTCAAGAAGATGTTAAAGAATCTCTTTCTGAAAGTGCATTTGTTGGTCTCCTAAAAATTAATTTTTAAGGAATAGCGGTAGATTTAGAACAGGTGCTGTGTCTTTTTGTTTGTGTGTTTGTTTTTGCCTTGAAATCAGTGGTTCTCAAAGTGTGATGCCTGAACCTGCAGCAGCATCACTTGGGACCTTGTTAGAAATGCAGACTGTTGGGTGCTACCCACACCTGCTGATTGGAAGGTGGGGTCTGACAGTCTGTGTTCTGATGGCCCTTCTGATGCAGCTGAAGGAGCGAAGGCTGAGAACCACTGCTCTGAGGCTCAGAGCACAGACAGGATGCCAGCACCCTCTGTTGTCCCTTTCCATCCTTTTAAGACCCAGGGGGGAGGAAAGGCGGGGATCCCTAGCCAAAGAGGAGTTGAGGTTCTCACCCGACACCGCTCCAGGCAGACTTCTGTTCGTGCTCTGAGGGCTGGAGAAGTACTTCTGGCTACGGGAGCTCAGCAAATTCCAGTTCGCTTTAGTCCAGTGCTTACATCTGTGGGTCCCGTTGGTGCCACAGGGGTGGAGGAGCCCTGGTGTCTCTGACAGTCCTGGGGAGATAGATGGTCACCGGGCTCTCTTCCCAGGGGAGCCGCAGTGTGTGACCCTAGCAAACAAGGCCGGGGAATGCATCACATGGAGAGGGACCAGGTTGGCTGCTCAGGCTTATCAAAGATGACCAGGCATTCATGGGCTAGGAGTTCTTAGGTGAAAATAATGACCAGTTTTTAAAATACTTAGAGGTGAGAGCCAATCACCTATGTACATTTCAGATCTGCCCTTGGTCACTCAGGCTGCTGTAATCATAGATGATCCCTTGGCTTCCGCCTACTTTCTCTCTGGCTAAAGGCTTTAATGACCTCAATGGACAGTCTAGGTGAGCCAAGAGAGTACATTTCTTCCGAGTGTATTTACTTGGAGGGCCCTAGGCCCGTGAGAGGCTTGTTTCAGAGACCTCGACCAAGCCATTCATGACTTCCCCCGCCCCACCACGCCCTGGCCCATTTAGTTCATTTGTGATTTGGGGGCCCCCTGAGGGCATTTCGGTATGTAAGACCCCTCCCAGTAAAAACTAGATGAACACGCGGGCTGTGCTTCTGCCTCTACCTTCTTGCCTCTCTCTCTTCCTGTCCTCTCACCTTGGGGCCCCGGTGACCCTGGGAAAGTAAGAAACCTGCTTTCTTAGTGGGCTGACAGTCCTACTTGGAGACTGAAGGAACTCCACTGATTCAACACATGCTTGTTGGGTATGTTTTCTGTGTCTGGGGACAGATTTGGGTAGGACACTGTTCATGTTCTCAGGAAGCTCAGGTGAGCGGGGTGTGAGGACCACTCATCACTGGCCCCCGAACAAGAGCAGCTGTGGAGGTACCAGGGGGAGGGAAGGTGGGGCTGGTGGGGCAGGGGGCTGCATTTCCCAGGGAGACAGCAAGAAGTGAGGAGCCTGGCCCACCAGACAGAGCAAGATGGACCCCCATCCCGGCTGGAGCATCAAACCCAGGCTGAGCCTTGATTCGTGGAGGAACTCGGGGATGGCCTGGGGTCAGGAGCAAAACCATCAGCCTCGGAGACGGGACACCAGGTTCAAACCAGTTCTGTCTTGCTGGTGGTAAGACCTGGGTTTATTCGATTATAAAATAAAAATGATTTGATTATAAAATGAATTCTTCTCTCCCAGGGCTCTTGTAAAGGTCCAATAAGCTCCAACAGATACAAGTTACTGGCCCACAATAGACAGAAAGCACTTCAGCAAGGAAGAACTGCGGAAAAGGTTGGGACTAATGGTGAAGTACAGACAGTGGGAATCGACTTCGGTGGGAAGGAGAAATCCTGTCCTTTGTCCTCGTGATTATCCAACCTCATTTTTAGGAGCTTGAAGTCGGGGGTGGGAGTGTTCTGTTGGGGTGTCCTTGCTGGGGGCAACGATTCAAATGAAGTCACACGCGAGCTGCTTTAGGAAGGTTGCCAGGCTTTGCGTTGGTTGGTTCACGGCTGTTGCGCACGGCTGTGTCTGTGTCTCGGTCTGGTTTGCAGGGGGTCACCAGGTTCGCAGCAGCCCCGGTGGACGTGGATGTTCTCTGGCCCCTTCTGCTGGTCCCCGAAACCCCAGTCTTCCCCACAGAGTGGCCTGATTCCAAGTCACATGCTGTTCCTCTTTCTCCGGTCTGTGTCAGGAAGGTCAGAAGGTGTCACTCTGAGAGGTTAGCCCGCAGCCGTGCCGCACA